TTGTCCGTCTCTTCTACATTGTCCGTCTCTTCTACATTGTCCGTCTCTTCTGCATTGTCCGTCTCTTCTACATTGTCCGTCTCTTCTACATTGTCCGTCTCTTCTACATTGTCCGTCTCTTCTACATTGTCCGTCTCTTCTACATTGTCCGTCTCTTCTACATTGTCCGTCTCGTCTACATTGTCCGTCTCGTCTACATTGTCCGTCTCTTCTACATTGTCCGTCTCGTCTACATTGTCCGTCTCGTCTACATTGTCCGTCTCTACTAAATTGTCCGTCTCTTCTACATTGTCCGTCTCTTCTACATTGTCCGTCTCTTCTGCATTTGTCCGTTCTCTTCTACATTGTCCGTCTCTTCTACATTGTCCGTCTCGTCTACATTGTCCATACTCGTCTACATTGTCCGTCTCTTCTACATTGTCCGTCTCTTCTACATTGTCCGTCTCTTCTACATTGTCCGTCTCTTCTGCATTTTCCGTCTCTTCTACATTGTCCGTCTCTTCTACATTGTCCGTCTCTTCTGCATTGTCCGTCTCGTCTACATTGTCCGTCTCGTCTACATTGTCCGTCTCGTCTACATTGTCCGTCTCTTCTACATTTGTCCGTCTCTCTACATTGTCCGTCTCTTCTGCATTGTCCGTCTCTTCTACATTGTCCCGTCTCTCTGCCATGTCGTCTCTTCTACATTGTCCGTCTCTTATACATGTCCCGTCTCTTCTACATTGTCCGTCTCTTCTGCATTGTCCGTCTCTTCTACATTGTCCGTCTCGTCTACATTGTCCGTCTCTTCTACATTGTCCGTCTCTTCTACATTGTCCGTCTCTTCTACATTGTCCGTCTCTTCTGCATTGTCCGTCTCTTCTACATTGTCCGTCTCTTCTGCATTGTCCGTCTCTTCTACATTGTCCGTCTCTTCTACATTGTCCGTCTCTTCTACATTGTCCGTCTCGTCTACATTGTCCGTCTCTTCTACATTGTCCGTCTCGTCTACATTGTCCGTCTCTTCTGCATTGTCCGTCTCTTCTACATTGTCCGTCTCTTCTACATTGTCCGTCTCGTCTACATTGTCCGTCTCTTCTACATTGTCCGTCTCTTCTGTATTGTCCGTCTCTTCTACATTGTCCGTCTCTTCTGCATTGTCCGTCTCTTCTACATTGTCCGTCTCTTCTACATTGTCCGTCTCTTCTACATTGTCCGTCTCTTCTACATTGTCCGTCTCTTCTACATTGTCCGTCTCTTCTGCATTGTCCATCTCTTCTACATTGTCCGTCTCGTCTACATTGTCCGTCTCGTCTACATTGTCCGTCTCTTCTACATTGTCCGTCTCTTCTGCATTGTCCGTCTCTTCTACATTGTCCGTCTCTTCTGCATTGTCCGTCTCGTCTCCATTGTCCGTCTCTTCTGCATTGTTCATTCTGAGTCGTGTTCTGCCCCGTCCCTTCTTCTAGTCGGAATCACTCATCAGCTTCTAAACGACGATGTATAAATCCACTCACATGCACAGCCACACATATAAATTCATGAATACCAAGTGGTGTTGACTTCACCACGGCGCTTGTTTCACGCTCGGTGCACTTTGAGACCATCACGTGAAGTGTGGAAGAGAATTTTTGCCACGATGAATTTGCACTCAGTGAGCTATACCTGGTTAAGTATTTTTTTTTTAGTTTAGTTAGACTGCTGTGCCGGGCTAGGTGAAGGTGATCACAATACAGTCCCAGGTGCCATGGGTTGACCGACCGAGATGACTGTCAGATGCACCATCTGGGCCCCCCACTGCGCCGACTTGCTGCGCGTTAACCGCACGGCGCTCCGCTCGTTGATGTGAGCGTCGCTCCTGTCTGCCTCCTCCACAGAGGTCGACTTTGACACCGCTGGTACCAGTCATCGGCAAGTCCATCCTCCTGTACCACATCAGTTCAACTCTTCTCGAGCCCGCGCGGCGCCCCCTTAGCCCCATCTATTCGGCCAAACAGCAGCTGCTTGGGCATACGGTGGGCTCTGCATGCGGGCTACATGACCCGGGCAACGCAGCCTCGCCTTTTAGAGGAGTTCACCGATGGGACTTTCTCCAGCCAGATCCTTCAAGGATCTGTGAGCTCCTTGCACTGTAATCCAGCCTGGTTAATCCCAGGATGCCTGGATGGATTTTAGGCACACAACGAAGACAAGGATCCCCCTTCAACAGGCTGCTGGGGCAAGTGATGTTAGCGAGCACCTATTGAAGGCCGCCACGACGCGCGAGGGGGTGGGTGGCCGGCACCACGCCCGGCCGCCTTTGTCTCCCCAGTGGCGATGTTTACACACACCGCACCAGATACTCATTTAAGGCTGAGTCGATCTAGGGATAGACCCAGAACCGGTTCAGATCATCGTCACCGGTGTTGGTCGTGAGCAGGAATGGAACTCGGCTCGCCGGTTTCATAGTGGCAGTGCGCTAACCACTGCACTAGCGTTCTACCACACAGACAGCTACACACACACATTTCACAGACTTGGTTGTATGTATTCTAAACTTCTTTAGCACCGTACGTAACGAACCGTGCTAATCGGAGGTGCAGTTCACAGTGAGGAATTTCAGCAGGGCCCTCGCCTGGTTAAATAAAGGGCCTCGTCATCACCTCGTGAAATGAGATTGTCTCGTGGAAATCCTTTGGCGTGAGGGCAGCGGCGAGATGGATGGGATGGAGGTGGGTGTGGAGCAGGCTTTGGGGACAAGGGATTAATCAGGGGATGGCGGTGTTTGTGGTGTACACAGAGCCCCATCTACTGTACGTACATGCCTCTTTTACCCCCTCCCTCCCCTACTCCCATCGATATATTTAGCTCAAGGATTAATATTGAATCTTCACCATCAGGATCGTCTCTCCCATAGGGGTTTAGAAACGTGTGGGCACGAGGGGGAAGCGTGTTGAGTGAAAGTGAGGAATTCATCATTTTTTCATCATGATCAAGATCATGTTGAAGTTCTGTGCAAAACTAGCAACTACTGGCCAAAATTAATTAGATACTCTTACGGAATTGAAACAAATAAGAAAAACATTTTACCGTTCGGAAAGCTACCTGAGATCGTGCTGCGTGGAAGCGCATCATCAAGCAATACATTGGTTAAATGTATGCCTATACAGGCGACCACGCTTCAATAGGGATTACCGTTGGCACGGATATTTTAATACACACAATGGACAGGAAGGACAAGATTAATGGGCCCGCATAATGCGCATCCATAATGTACGCCGACTCAAGAGCGCAGAATCGTGGTCACCACATCTACGCCTCTATATGAACCTTAAGGCTCTCGCACGATGTCCGTGATGCAGTAATTCTTAGTCTGTTGATGGTCGGCGATGCGGCAATCGACTCATCTCGACGAGCTGTACACGATGCACCACTTACATTGCGTACGAGCGTTCAGGGTTTCAGCACAATCGTCCTCGCTGCGTTTCGACATCGCGGAGTGTGGCACTGATTTCGGATTGATTGGTACCCCAGTCGCGGAGTGAAGTACACCCCTGGAAAGAAAATAGTGTCCCAGAAATAAAACATTTAATTGCCTCGGCCAGTTTGTATTATTTGGTACCCCGGGGTTCTGCCATAAGGATCATGTAAGGAACGAAACAGGTGGAGGACTTCTCCACAAATCTGGCTGTCGCCTGATGAAGCTAGTTGTAATTACTGGCGAAACGTCGTACTCAGATTGTAAATGTTGTGGCTAGGCTCTCCAACACACCGGTGTGGTGCTGTACTAGTGACGAATTGGCCACGTTCTGTTTACGTGACAACCCTTACTAGTTGGCTGTGTCGGGTGGTGGCGGGTTTTAACGACACATTTAAATACTTACGCGATCTAACCCAAAAAAACCTCTTATGGATATTGGTCGCGAAAGCCTACGAGTTAAAATGATCAACATCATATTCAATATCAATATAATAAAGTTAGTCATCATAAATGTTGTCAACATAATCAATATGATTGTAACCATCAATGTACTCATCATGAATGTAATAATCATGAATATAATCAATGAAATAATCAATAAAATAATGATCATGAAGGTAATCATCAATATCAATCACCAATATCATCATCAATGTCACCATCATCAAATGTGTGTGTGAGCGATGATGTGGCGGTTCGTGCGAAGCACTGCGAACCCAACACCAGTATCGATTATCTGAACCGGTCCTGGGCTTCCCGTATGTCGACTCAGCCTCAAATTAGTACAGTATCTGGTGCGGTGTGTAAACATCGTCACTAAGGGAGACAAAGACGGCCAGGCGTGGTGCTGCCGTGCCCGGCCTTCATAGGTCATGTTAAGGCTTAACGGGAGATCTTTGTCTTTGCAGCGATTCGCGCACTGCACTACGAACCCAGTACTCAAGTCCAGCTCCCACACACGGGTAACATCAGTCGCGAGTGCTATCTGACGACCGTATTCTTGGTCGGCTCGTCCTTGCTAAACAAAGCACCAGCACTGCGGAGTCAAAGGCGGCCGCACGTGGTGATGTCCATGCACTTATCCCAAAAAGCCACCGGAGGCTACGCAGGTGATCTCCATCCTTCGTCTTTGTTCACACTCTCCGATCCCTTCTGTTCCACGCCGTGCCTCGTGCGTCCACGTTCGCGTGGGGAGCGGTGGCGCCGTGGTCAGCCCGCCGCTCTCTCCCCTTTCGGCCACCCGAGTTCGACTCCCGCGCTCACGGCCAGCGGGGCCGCGTGCTGAACGCACTCGGGATTTTTTGTTGCACACAGCGTTGTAATACGTTGGGGGTTTTTTATTTTTCTGGAAGATTTGCTGGTTTATCCCAGGATGTTTCTGTTGCGCGTTGTCACTTTCAGATGTTTCTCTGTTCATGTTTTGTGTTTGTTGCGGTTGCACCGAACTCAAGAGCCGCGTGGCTCACAGGGGCACACCTAATAAATGGAACTTTAAACTTGAAAACTTGCCCCCGACTTGTCTGCTCCAGGCTATAGGGGGGTGACCTTTGTCTTTGTGCAGCTCTGATCCTGCTCTTCTACCTCGTGTTCTACGGCTTCCTGGCCGGACTCTTCTCCCTCACCATGTGGGTGCTGCTGCAGACCACCAACGAGTTCCGCCCCAAGTACCTCGACCGTGTCCCCTCGCCCGGTACCAGCGTGCACGCAGTACACGCAACATGCACGCAGTACACGCAACATGCACGCAGTGCACGCAGTACACGCAGTGCACACAGTACACGCAGTGCACACAGTACACGCAACACGCACACAGTACACGCAGTGCACACAGTACAGGCAACATGCACACAGTACACGCAGTACACGCAACATGCACACAGTACACACAGTACACGCAGTACACGCAACATGCACACAGTACACGCAGAACACGCAGTACACGCAACATGCACACAGTACACGCAGTACACGCAGTACACGCAACATGCACACAGTACACGCAGTACACGCAACATGCACACAGTACACGCAGTACACGCAACATGCACACAGTACACGCGGTACACACAGTACACGCAGCACACACGGTACACAGTGCACACAGTACACGCAGCACACACGGTACACGCAGTGCACACAGTACACGCAGCGCACACACGGTACACGCAATACACGCAGTGCACACATTGCTGGGGCAAGTGCTGTTAGCGAGCACCTATAAAGGCCGGAACGGCACACGAGGGGGTGGGTGGCCAGCACCATGCCCGGCCGCCTTTGTCTCCCCAGTGGCGATGTTTTTACACACCGCACCACGTGCTCATTTGTGGCTGAGTCGACCTAGGGGAAGCCCAGGACCGTCACAGATAATCGTCACTTGTATCGGCCGTGAGCGGGAATCGAACTCGGTTCGCCGGGGTTTCGCAACGCACACACACATTCGCACGTAGGTGCACGCGCACACACACACACGTGCATACTCAGGCAGTTTCCTACCGTCATGCATATTTAACGGGGCCCCATGCATTATGCAGCACGGTGCAATCTGTGGGGCTCGGAGTCGTGACGCTTCATGAGCCTCTTAGTGTGGATCATGTGACGCACTCTCCCACACACCTACAGACACCCTAAGGTCCCCCGTATAGCCTGGACAGACTTTTGGGGTACCTGGAGCACCTTTGAAGGCCGGCACGGCACACGAGGGGGTGGCTGGCCCGGCCGCCTTTGTCTCCCCAGTGGCGATGCTTTACATACCGCAACAGGCACTCATTTGAGCCTGAGTAGACCTAGGGGAAGCCCAGGACCGGTTCATATAATCGTCACTGGTGTGCGGGAGTCTAACTTAGGTCACCGTGTTCATAACGCAGCGCGCTAACCACTACATTGCCGTTCCTCACACAGACGGAGGTACAGGCAGCCACAGACACTCTATACACACGTGTGTGTGTGTGTGTGCACATGGCCTGGCACAAGCGTCGTGGTGACGTCACCGCCACTTAGTGGCGAATGGCGGTTGTTGTTGTTGGTAGTGCAGTGCTTAGCACACTGCGCTACAAACCCGGCGGCCCAAGTTCGATTCCCACTCACGGCCACCAACACCATCGCCGATTGTCTGAACCGGTCGTGGGGCTCCCCCCTAGGCTAACAAAGGCGGCTCGGCGTGGTGCTGGCAACCCGACGCCCTCGGCGTGCCGTGCCGACCGTCAGAGGCGGTCGCTCCCCCCCCAGCGGCGCCTGTCCCGACTCTTTATGAAGAGGCTATGAGGGGCATCTTTGTCTTTTTGTGTCTTACCACCAGGGCTGATGATCCGACCTCAGGCGGACACCCTGGACATCAAGTTCAAGCCGACGCAGAACAGCACCTTCCAGCACTACGTCACCGCCCTCAACGACTTCCTGTTGCGTGAGTGACCTCCAGCACCGGCACGCTCGCACGCCGTCGTGGCGAAGCATGGTCCAGCGACCCCACCACCACTCCCCAACAACGACGACAACAGCAGCACACCGCCATTCGCCACTCAGTGGCGGCGGCGGCGGCGGCGACGTCACAACGGCGTCCCTTGCCAGGCCAGGTGCACTTTGAGGCCACGTGACGTGTCGAAGGCTGACAGGAGGCCACGTGACGTGTCGAAGGCTCGCTGCTGACAGGTGGCCACGGGACAGGCCCGGCACAAGGGGACTGAACACAAAAAGCGGAACGCAAAGCGGCGGCGACCACGTTTCCGCCACCCCGCGTCGTCGCCGATACGTGCACAGTGTATCACCCATGTTGTTGTTGTCTTGGCGGTGCGTGCACAGTGTATCACCCATGTCGTTGTTGTTGTTGTCTTGGCGGTGCGTACACAGTGTATCACCCATGTCGTTGTTGTTGTTGTCTTGGTGGTGCGTACACAGTGTATCACCGATGTCGTTGTTGTTGTTGTCTTGGCGGTGCGTACACAGTGTATCACCGATGTTGTTGTCGTTGTTGTTGTTGTCTTGGCGGTGCGTGCACAGCCTACAACGAGAGGAACCAGACGGCGCGTAACCTGAACTGCACGCCGGGGCGCTACCACTTCCAGAACGACACGGACGAGGTGCGCAACTACCCCAAGACGTCGTGCCGCTTCCTGCGCGCGTCACTCGGCGAATGCTCGGGCCTCGTGGACACGAGCTACGGCTACAGCTCCGGCACGCCCTGCGTCATCCTCAAGATGAACCGGGTACGCGCAGAGTCATCATCACCACACCAGCAACTGCGAACGCCGTCATCACCGTCGTCATCACCGTCGTCATCACCGTCGTCATCGTCATCGTTACTTTCGTCATCGTTTCTCCGTGACAGCCCCCACCGACCGGAGCGCGCCCATCATCCCGCTGGACCAGCAGCAGTGTTCAATCTACGACGACTTCTAAGAGATGCTTAAGCTAAACGAAAACTATAAACGATTTTTTTGTTTAACCAGGTAAGGCCCAGCTGAGCTATATAGCTCTTTTTCAGCAGCGGCCTGGCGATCACAAATGAGAGCTTCAACGAAGTGGCTTATCACGTGGAAATGTGATAGCAGCCAAAGACTCTAAACGCGTGATGTTGATTCTAAACGTGGAGGGAAAAACCAGAGGACCTGGACCAAAATCCACGCGACCACGGGGAGAGGGAGACACACAAACTACAAATATACAGCAGCAGCAGCAGCCGTCAGGGTCTGGATCGAACACACGACCTCCTGTATACCAGGCGAGGTAGTTAACATCTCCTAGCCACCGCGACGCCCTAAAGGAGGCCCCACCTCTTTTTTTTAAAGCCCCCACCCACCTCGTTCGCCCGGCTTTCGAGCGACACCGAGCTTGGCTCCGTGCCTCAGAGGTGGTGCGATCATCATGAATGCCGTCACCTTTGTTGTCATCGTTGTCATCATCATCGTTGTCATCATCACCACCATCATCTTAATCATCGCGGCATTTTTAAGTTGTCCTTCCCCCCGCACCTCCGATTAGCACAGTTGGCTGCGTACGGCGTCAAAGAAGTTCAACATACGCATGTACGGTTCAGATCTGGATATGCGTTAATTTATTCACACGCGCAATGAAGGAAAAAACTCGGCCCGAATTGCTTTTCCTCTGCTGCCCGAGAGAGGCCGGAAAGAGCGTGGGAGCGAGAGGTCACGGTGCTGCTGGGCTTCGTAGCTCACATCGAGGGAGACGCACAAGGCGGAATGCAACGTGGGAATTAATCAATAACGTCGGTGTCATTGAAGATCGATGACCGGCAGCTCGGTGGAGGATGTCCGGTGTTTGCGGTCGGATGATGAAAAGCAACCCGGCTTTACTCTTTAAAATCTAGAGCGCAACGTCGATCTATTTCCACATCAACGTATCCTAAGCCATCGTTGAGTACTGGCGCGGTGCCTGTGATGGTTCTACTACAACCAGATCTGAACCGGGATTGATCAGGATTTGATATCTCGTAGGTCTCTACAGGAATTAACCAATTGTTTGCTTTAGCGGATTGTATATTAGCCTGCAATTGTTTGGGTGACTTGGAGTGACTCTATGGGTGCGAGATCATCAGTCAACACTCGTTGTGTTGTGTCCGCGTGCGTATGTGTCTGTGTGTTCCTGCCCTGCAGATTATCAGCTATTACCCCAACGAAAACGCCGAACCGCTGAGGGTGAACTGCACCGGCAAGGTCAGAGGTTAAACTGACTCAGAGGTCATTTGATCCTGACGGAATTTGTTCAGTTTCAGACTCCGTTATCATCCCAGTCGTTTTAAATGTGATCGCTTTTCACTACACGTATTGTTGGAATCGTTCTTTCGAAGGAAAAGTTTTAACTTTGTCCGTGAACCCGTTTATCGCTGTTCGGTCGCTCAGAACTCCTCCTCTGCAGTGTTCTACTTTGACAAAAGCGTCTCCGCCGCCTTTCCAGTTTCACTTCCTGCCTTCGGGAGTGAACGTCCGTGGTTCTCATCAGCGTTCGTGTCTGCCCCCCACCCCCGTTCCCGAGCGTTTTCCGTTCGTCCTCGAGAACGACGAGCCATTACGATTGCCTCCGTGTACGATTTCATTTCTCTTCCTCGTCAATTCTGACCTCTCTGTGTGTCTTTTTGCCTGCCGTCTGTGCGACTTGCGTGTGACTGCGTGCGCGCGTAACCGTGCACGAGCGCCCGTCTGCGCGTGCATGTGCTCACCGTGTGTGCATGTGCGTGCGTGGCCCGTGCGTGTGTGCGTCTCTCCCCCGCCCGAGCACGCGTGCGCACGCATTGACCCCTCCCCCGCCCCCAACTCCTGCACGTGGGCACGTGCGACCGCGCGTGTGTGTGTGTGTGTGTACGCGTGCGTACGTGGGCGCGCGTTCGTGTGCGACCTCGTTTCTTTTTGGGTTACGTTCTCTTCCCCCCGCCCCCCCGCGTGGCACAGAGACACAAAATCAACAAGGACGAGTGGGTAAGGCGGCCTTGATGCCTGACCCCGGTGTGAACTTGCGGTGACTTCTATGCATTGACCCCTCCCGCCCCTTTATTGCGCTGACCTGGTGCGTTTGCGGTGCACGGCAACCGGCTAGTGCGGTGAAGAAGCGATCGACCGCGCACCCCCTCCCCCCTGCAAGCCCCCCACCCACTCCCCCACCGCCACAAAATGGAGATCAGAGATCGTGGTCAAATCAAGGCCCCTCCGCCACCCTCCCCCAACCTCTCAAGCCCACTCCCCCGGCCCCACCCCCCCTCTTTTTGCAAAGTGTACCCATGAAAGAGTAAACGTGGAAGAGGCAACTGTTTTAGTCACTTGCGCTGTTATGTTGCGAATATCAAGTGGGTGAAGCTGCCCTCGGTCACACGCGAGCGGAACGTGGAACAGCGACCGCTGGGGCGGAGGGATCAGCCTTACAGCTCGGAGAAGGCATTCGGATTAGAGCCCGCGCCCGCCGATTATTATGAGTGTTGTTGTTATTCAAGCAATCGATCACGCTACCGATTAGCGGATTCATCGCTCCACTAATCGGACAGGACGGTAAAAATTTGTGTCGGGGGAGGGTGGGAAATTCTCCCACTTGTGCCTCTGGACGGGAGGTGATCAATTGACTTGGCTCAAACGAGTCGATCGCAGCCGGACAACAACAAGGGTGAGCCGTGGTCACGCCCACTCGCACGAGTGATGGCTTCGTGAGTTCTGATTGGACGACGCTTCGCTCGAGGGGAGGGGGCTTTCCGTGGCCATGCCGATGCAACCACTGCTGAGCGCAGGTCCTCTTTTTGGGTGCACTTTGTGAAACGATCTCGCTGGTACCTTCAAGTCATGGGTTTCATTTCTCACCTAATAACTACCCCCCCCCCACCCCGAGTAGATGGTAGGCCCGAGTAGGTGGCTCTCGTGAACCAGTAGCCACGGTTGTAGCCGAGGAGTATACTCGACTTGGCGTGCTGGGATGTGAAAATATGTCCCTTGTCGCTGACCTGGACAAGACCTCTAACTGAAATTAAGCCCCGAATGTATATCATGTATTTGGCGCCCTCGTCGATTGACGTAGAGTACATTCGCCATCCATAACACCGAACAATGGTTACGGACGTGTAAGTGTACATAGACGGGCCCAGTGTTGATTCACACATTTACCATGATACGAGTGGTGTTGGAATAGCGAGATGGAGACTGGCTCTAGATCCGCACATGGTGTCGGTGTTAAATACATTACACAGGCAATCGCCACAGCCCTAGCGTACACACTGATGATTCTCTATCTAAACAAAACCATGAAAGTGCATGTTATTGATAGTTTTGAATATTAATGGATACAGACTCTCTAATGTATGTAGCCAACTGCTAAATCGGAGGTGCGAGGGGGGTGGACAACAAACTAAACACAACAAGCAGTTACAAAGAGATGAGTTTTCAATCTAGATGTAAAAGTGCACAGCTGACCCCAGTGGCGTCACTAATAACCCTATTTGACTATACGCCGTTTTTAGTTTCATTGGAACTCATCAGCAGAGCATAGCCGAACACCCAAGGGACGAATTCACACTACACCTATTTTTCGCCCGAGGGAAAAGTTTGGCGCAGCAAACGCAAATTGGTTATTTCTGCAACCTCTTTAGGTTGGCGCCTCAAAAATTACCGCTTCAGTGCTTCCACAACATTTTAAAATGATGAACACCTCCGCGAAAGAAGTTCAACATATGCACATACATACCTGTGTTTACGGAGGCCTACATCCAGCAGTGGATTCACAAAAAAGGGTTCTACGTGTACATTTCGTAGGAAGTTGGCAGTGGTGCAGTCTTCCACCCCTCAGCCATGGGAACGTGGAATTTCCCACCGCTGAATGCTCAATTGATCGGCGAGAGAAGATTTGACTTCAGGCTCTCTGATGATGAATTACGTCTCACTGCTTCTGCCAAAATCCACACGGATTACGAACGTTGGGTGATCGAATGTGGTTGGGGTGCATGTATGGTTGTCACCCGTCCTGCTTTTCTCAAGATCACCCTGGGAAATGTGTAAGTCTTCACCCAGTAAACATGCCAATGTTGGGTCGACTTTGGCATGTGGCTGGAACTGTTGGACCAACGTTGGCCCAACAACGTTGCACGTTTACTGGGCACAGACCGCGAGAATTATGGTACCCGCTATCAATTACACCGCCAACGTTGTTTCGTCTCCGATACGGTGCACAACGGCGCTAAGTCTCACACTGCTGCTCGTCTTGTCACAGTACCAGTAAAAGCGTATATGAGCGGTACTCCGCTGTCTCCACGTGTACAACATGTTTACGACGAGTTTGTGCACAGCACCGGTAAAATGCTCTCTACGCAGTCACTTAAAGTCAATTCAGAGGACCGAGTGGCAACATAAGGTAGGGTGGGGTAAGAGGCCTACATGGGTTGAAGGCCTCTTTTGTCCTAGTGCTGACAGAAATTGTGTCATCAGCCATGATTGGCTGGAAGTGCGGATTGGCGTCCTCTTCGAGAGGCCCCTGCTGCTGCTGCTGGTGTCTGCAGCTCAACAGGGACCACCACACAGGGGCACCAGGACAAAAATTCCTTTAATCTCACGTAGGCCTCTTACCTCACCCTACTGCACAGATTGGACGCTGAACGCAGTTGTCCCTGGAAAGTTCAGGTGCCAGGTTTCAGGCCACAAACCAGTTCATAAGACATGCCTCCCACACCCCACCACACCGATCTTTTCCTTTTACACTTTAATAATATGCAAAAAATAAGTGCATCTGATTATACAAAAACAGTACAGTATTGTGAGCAATTATATGTTCCCATTCATTCGCCCCGGTTTTCTCGTACATCAGAGGTGGCAACGCTACGTGCACGGATTTAGTGGCTGGCCACTCTGGTGACCGCCATTTTGTTGGGCTTGAATGAGGTCGCTATTTTTTAAAGCAGCCATCTTGATGTCCATCTCGTGACACCAAAATGGCGGCACGAGATGGAGGCTCCTCTGCGTTGACGTTGATCACTGCTGCTGCTGCTGATGCACCGTGGCTTCTTACGACTGTCAATGAAAATGCCGATCGACGGACGCGTGCCTGCTGCCTGATTCACTCACTCCCACATCGTCGCGGCCCAGTCAACATCATCGTCATCTTGAGCATTTTCATCACCCCCATGACCTTTCATCATGGAAATGATCAACTTGTATCATCATCCTCGTGGGTCCGGCATCATTGTAACCGAGTCGGCTGTCGGTTGCCTTGGGGTAATCGCGGTTGGGGAGAGGAAGGCGAGGTCCGGATCAACGCACAAACGCGGACCATAATGCTGAACACACGTGAATGAGGCGGTGAACACGTGTTCAGCACTCACCTACCTACGTTTAGTGGGGTGTGAACATTGCGGGAGCCTCGTGATTGCGGAAAACACGTTAAATTAAATCGCTACCCGGCGAGACACAACATGCTCAACCCGGATAAAATACCGCACACGCTGCAATATACCTAACCAATTTCGTAAAATAATCGTCATGTTTCGTGTTATAGTCTCTGAAAGCAATTAGTCACCCTTTCTTTCGCCTCACTTTTGGATCTCCTTTTGCGTATAATTTTTTTTACGATTTCTTTCAAATGTTATCGCCGCACGTTTACTCACAGTGAGCATGCCAACTTTTGTCGGACGTTGGGATGCAGTTTTCTGGCTAAATTCTGACGCGGGTTTTCATTTATCACGTGGGCACCGAGTCACTGTCCTTCGACGATTCAGGAGCAGACGACAATTGAACCGCTGTGTGGCACCGATGGGGATAGAATATTCCCTATTCTTGTGTTGATTTATGTTTTAGCAAGTGCTATTAACCCACCAACCGGGTAATGTATTCCACCCGCGGATAACCGAGAGTTACCTCTGCTTGTTTTTTCCACATCTCAGAAAATGTGGAACGTTGGGCCAACGCTCATGTGTGGTTAACCGTTGTACCAACATTGGCCCAACGTTCCCTGTTGACTGGGATTACCGTAATCATCATAGCACTCATTCCACATTTTATTATTTATATCTCACTTCATAGTTAACATCCTCGTCTTGGTTATCCTCAAACAAGTACCATTATCACCACAATCATCTCCTGAAACGCCATCGTCTAGATCATAGCAATCGCCTCCATCATCTCAAGCTTTCACATCATTTTGACGATAATCACAATTATATATAAACTACTATATTATGACGTCCATGGTCGCAATTACTTTTGACTACAACGTAGTAGATTTCAACATCTTCATCACATGCTACCTCCACATCATCATCGTCACTGATAACCTCACAGTCACCGTCAGTCGCCCTCTCCGCGTGCTAATAGTTTATCTCTCTGTGCTCGTGTCTGTACCCCTGTGCTTCCCTTGTACTCCCCTTGTACTCTCCCTGTGTACTCTCTTCCCATGTACTCTCTCCCTGTGTACTCTCTCCTCATGTACTCTCCTCATTTGCTCTGATGAGCGTGCTCTATCCCTATCTCCCCCCGTTTATTATTTCCATGTACCCTCCCGTGCACACTCTCTCCCATCGACTTTCTCGTCTACTCTCTCTCCCCGTGTACTCTCTCCCGTGTCCTCTTGCTGTGCACTCTCTCCCCCGTGTATTTTCCACGTGCACTCTCTCTCTCTCCCCGTGTACTCTCCCGTGTGTACTCCCCCGCACACAGCGTGACGACACTGCAAAAGTCGGGCCCCTCCGGTACTTCCCGGTCAACGGGACCTTTGACCCCATGTACTTCCCATACTACGGCAAGAAGGCGCACGTGAGTACCACAGTGGTTGTGGTGGTGGTGGTGGTTGTGCCGGTGAACTACACGCAGCCCGTGGTTGTTGATGGTAGTTGTTGTGGTGGTGGTTGTGCAGGTGAACTCACGCATCCCATGATTGTTGATTGTGGTGGTTGTGATGGTGTTGTGGAAGCGGTAGTAGAGCAGTTAGTGCGCAGCGCTACGAACCCGGCTATCCGGTCCTGGGCCGCCCGTAGGTCAACTCAGTTTAAAATGAGTACCTTTGTGCGATGTATAAACATCGCCACTGGGGAAACAAAGGCGGCCGGCGTGGTGCTGGCCACCCTCCCCCTCGCGTGCCGTGCCAGGCCTTCATAGGTGCTCGCTAACGGCACTTGCACCAACAGTCTGTGTAAGGCCATACGGGGGATCTTTGTCTTTGGTGGTGGTTGTGCAGGTGAACTACACGCAGCCCGTGGTGGCGGTGCGGTTCATGAACGCGACGCGTGGGGAGGAGCTGTCGGTGGAGTGCTCCATCGCCGGCGTAAAGCACGATAGCGATCGCGACCGCTTCCTGGGAAGGGTGACCTTCAGGGTGTTCATCCAGTGATCGCCAGCCCACACACACACACCCACGATCGTCTACACGCCCACATACACGCTTGCTCATTCATGATCATGCCCACTCAACCACATACACACAGGCTTGCTCGCCCACACGATTTCACACTCGCTCAGCCAAGCTCACCCACACACGTACTCATACATACACTTATGAAGACAACCTTATACATGCTCACCCATACACACCCATTCATATAATATAAATCATACGGGTGTATCCCCATACACACCCATACTCAAAAATACACAGCAAGATAAACAACATCTGGTTAAACCTATACACAGCAAGATTTACCTTATCTCGGTAAACCCATACACAGCAAGATAAACCATATCTGGGACCACCCATACACAGCAAGATAAACCATATCTGGGACCACCCATACACAGCAAGATAAACCATATCTGGGTCCACCCATACACAGCAAGATAAACCATATCTGGGTCCACCCATACACAGCAAGATAAACCATATCTGGGTCCATCCATACACAGCAAGATAAACCATATCTGGGTCCACCCATACACAGCAAGATAAACCAAATCTGGGTCCACCCATACACAGCAAGATAAACCGTATCTGGGTCCACCCATACACAGCAAGATAAACCATATCTGGGTCCACCCATACACAGAAAGATAAGCCATATCTGGTTACACCCATACACAGCAAGATGAACCATATCTGGGTAAACCCATACACAGCAAGATGAATCATATCTGGATAGACCCATACACAGCAAGATAAACCATATCTGGGTCCACCCATACACAGCAAGATAAACCATATCTGGGTAAACCCATACACAGCAAGATAAACCATATCTGGATAAACCCATACACAGCAAGATAAACCATATCTGGGTCCACCCAAACACAGCAAGATCAACCATATCTGGGCCCACCCATACACAGCAAGATAAACCATATCTGGGTCCAACCATACACAGCAAGATAAACCATATCTGGGTACACCCATACACAGCAAGATAAACCGTATTTGGATAAACCCATACACATCAAGATAAACCATATCTGGGTCGACCCATACACAGCAAGATAAACCATATCTGGGTCCACCCATACACAGCAAGGTAAACCATATCTGGTTACACCCATACACAGCAAGATAAACCAAATCTGGATAAACCCATACACAGCAAGATAGACCATATCTGGGTCCACCCATACACAGCAAGATAAACCATATCTGGTTACACCCATACACAGCAAGATAAACCAAATCTGGATAAAACCATACACAGCAAGATAAACCATATCTGGGTAAACCCATACACAGCAAGATAAACCATATCTGGGCACACCTATACACAGCAAGATAAACCGTATCTGGATAAACCCATACACAGCAAGATAAACCATATCTGGGCACACCCATACACAGGAAGATAAACCATATCTCGGCACACCCATACACAGCAAGATAAACCATATCTGGGTAAACCCATACACAGCAAGATAAACCAAATCTGGGTCCACCCATACACAGCAAGATAAACCATATCTGGGTAAACCCATACACAGCAAGATAAACCATATCTGGGTAAACCCATACACAGCAAAATGAACCATATCTGGGTATACCCATACACAGCAAGATAAACCGTATCTGGATAAACCCATACACAGCAAGATAAACCATATCTGGTTAAACCCATACACAGCAAGATAAACCATATCTGGTTAAACCCATACACAGCAAGATAAACCATATCTCGGTCCACCCATACACAGCAAGATAAACCATATCTGGGTAAACCCATATACAGCAGGATAAACCATATCTGGTTAAACCCATACAGAAGATAAACCATATCTGGGCACACCCATACACAGCAAGATAAACCATATCTGGTTAAACCCATACAGAAGATAAACCATATCTGGGCACACCCATACACAGCAAGATAAACCATATCTGGGTAAACCCATACACAGCAAGATAAACCATATCTGGGTACACCTATACACTGCAAGATAAACCATATCTGGGTAAACCCATACACAGCAAGATAAACCGTATATGTGTACATCCATACACAGCAAGATAACCGTATCGGGTTAAACCCATACACAGCAAGATAAACCATATCTGGGTGAACCCATAAACAGCAAGATAAACCATATCTGGGTGAACACATACACAGCAAGATAAACCATATCTGGGTAAACCCATACACAGCAAGATAAACCATATCTGGGTAAACCTATACACAGCAAGATAAACCATATCTGGGCACACCCATACACAGCAAGATAAACCATATCTGGGTAAACCCATACACAGCAAGATAAACCCTATCTGGGTGAACACATACACAGCAAGATAAACCATATCTGGGTGAACCCATACACAGCAAGATAAACCATATCTGGGCACACCTATACACAGCAAGATAAACCATATCTGGGTCCAACCATACACAGCAAGATAAACCATATCTGGGTGAACCCATACACAGCAAGATAAACCATATCTGGGCACACCCATACACAGCAAGATAAACCATATCTGGGTCCACCCATTCACAGCAAGATAAACCATATCTGGGTGAACCCATACACAGCAAGATAAACCATATCTGGGTGAACACATACACAGCAAGATAAACCATATCTGGGTGAACACATACACAGCAAGATAAACCATATCTGGGTCCACCCATACACAGCAAGATAAACCATATCTGGGTGAACCCATACACAGCAAGATAAACCATATCTGGATAAACCCATACACAGCAAGATAAACCATATCTGGGTCCACCCATACACAGCAAGATAAACCATATCTGGGTAAACCCATACACTGCAAGATAAACCGTATCTGGGTGAACCCATATACAGCAAGATAAACCATATCTGGATAAACCCATACACAGCAAGATAAACCATATCTGGGTCCACCCATACACAGCAAGATAAACCATATCTGGGTCCACCCATTCACAGCAAGATAAACCATATCTGGGTGAACCCATACACAGCAAGATAAACCATATCTGGGTGAACACATACACAGCAAGATAAACCATATCTGGGTGAACACATACACAGCAAGATAAACCATATCTGGGTGAACACATACACAGCAAGATAAACCATATCTGGGTCCACCCATACACAGCAAGATAAACCATATCTGGGTGAACCCATACACAGCAAGATAAACCATATCTGGATAAACCCCTACACAGCAAGATAAACCATATCTGGGTCCACCCATACACAGCAAGATAAACCATATCTGGGTAAACCCATACACTGCAAGATAAACCGTATCTGGGTGAACCCATACACAGCAAGATAAACCATATCTGGATAAACCCATACACAGCAAGATAAACCATATCTGGGTCCACCCATACACAGCAAGATAAACCATATCTGGGTCCACCCATGCACAGCAAGATAAACCATATCTGGATAAACCCATACACAGCAAGATAAACCATATCTGGGTCCACCCATACACAGCAAGATAAACCATATCTGGGTCCACCCATACACAGCAAGATAAACCATATCTGGGTCCACCCATACACAGCAAGATAAACCATATCTGGGCACACCCATACACAGCAATACAACCCATTTTTTCCTACACCCATACACACAGAGTTATGCACACACCAATACAAAGTCGTATCTGTATATACCTAAACACACACACACCTATAAACAACCACGAAGGAACTCCCCCCAGTGCACAGCGCCAATCAAACGCATTAACACGCGCACACGACAACATGCACACATTCATGTCTGTACGCAAACATCACACCAACCACACGCACACCTCCACACACACACCGATAGACACACGTACACCAAGACACTTATCCAAACGCACACACACACACAGAGTAATAGACAAAGACAAAGGTTCCCTGTAGAGGCTTAACAGACTTGCAGCAAGTTCTGTTCGTGAGCTCCGATTAATCCCGGCACGGCACAACAAGGAGGTGGGTGGCCAGGAACCACAACCGGCCGCCTTTGCCTCCCCAAAAGCTGATGTTTACACACCGTACCAGGTACGCATTTAAGGCCGAGTTTACCTAGGGGAGGCCCAGGGCCGGTTCAGAACATTCGCCACTGATGTTGGCCGTGAGCGGGAATGGAACGAGTGGTCGCCAGGTTCGTAGCGCAGTGCACTGACCGCCCCAGGCAGCTCCCCTCCACACACACCAGCATAGGCAAAGATGACCCCACGTAGCCTACACACACCTGGGGCGAGTGCTGTTAGCGAGTGGCACATACAAAGGCAAGCACGGTGCACACCAGCGGGTGGGCAGCACCACGCCCGACCGCCTTTGTCTCCCCAGCGGCGATGTTTACACACCGCGCCAGGTACTCATTTGATGCCGAGTCGACCTAGGGGGGAGGCCCAGCAACAGTTTACGAGAATCATCACTGGCGAATCCAACCCTGGGGTGGCCGGGTTCGTAGCGCAGCTACTACGTTACCGCTCCTCACCATCTCCCACACACACCTCGACACACCACACACACACACGCCGCTTCCAGCCAATCACAGCAGCGCGCTTCTCCCGCACAATGCACGCCATCCAGTGTCAAGGGGGGCGTGGAGTTGCCCGTGCAGTGGAGGGTGGAACAATCACAAATCATAAATCTGCGGAATCTTCCACTTCGAGCTGCACGTGACCACCCACTTCTGCGCCCCCCCCCCCCCCCCCGTACAATTAGAAATCCTCGGAGTCTACCACTCGCGCTGCACGTGACCACCCATTTCTGCCCCCCTCCCCCTGTGTACAATAACAAATTAGAAATCTGCGGAATCTACAACTCGCATTGCACGTGTCCACTCCTCTTCTGCACCCCCACCCCGTGTACAATAACAAATTAGAAATCTGCGGAATCTACAACTCGCGCTGCACGTGACCACCCACTTCTGCCCCCCTCCCCCCGTGTACAATAACAAATTAGAAATCTGCGGAATCCACAACTCGCGTTGCACGTGTCCACTCTTCTGCAACCCACACCCCGTGTACAATAACAAATTAGAAATCTGCTGAATCTACAACTCGCGTTGCACGTGCCCACCCCTCTTCTGCAACCCACACCCCCCGAACTCCGCACCACCAACCCCACTGGGGAGGTTGGCACCGCGGAGCGAGCCACAGCGAAATCGACGGCAGACACCCGCGCAGCGGCGCACAACGCCGCGAATCCGCGACCCGTCACGAATCCGCGATGACCGAAAGTCGTCCTTCGAGAGGCGTTCTCATCCCCGACCGTTCTCAACTCAATCCGCCAACCCCACCCCTCCCCCCCCAGCGAGTCCCCCGCACCGCCAGCGAGTGGGATGATGATAACGATGGTGGTGATTTCCAAATGCGACACGTTGTTGACGATGATGTACGTACTGTATGTTGAACTTCTTTCGCGCCCTACGTAGCCAGCCGTGCTTATCGGAGGTGCGGGGGAAGGACAACAAACTAAACGCACAAAGGAGTTCGAAAGAAATGAATTTTCAATCTAGATGATGATGATTTAAAAGTGCATAGCTCTCAGTGGCTTCCGAATATCGGAAGGAAGAGCGTTCCAGACGGCCGCCGAAGCGCATTGGAAAGCGCCACGCGATGTCTGTGACCGTCTTTGTTCGATGGCTACAGCCAAAAGCCGCTGCTGCTGCTGCCCCCAGGATGACCCGGAGTTCGCACGATGGTGGCTTAGGCTCCTTGACGAGATCAGCGACCGATTGGGGACCACACTTGTGACCACACTTGTGGCCACACTTGTGACCACACTTGTGACCTCACGTGTGACCACACTTGTGACCACACTTGTGACCACACGTGTGACCACACTTGTGACCTCACGTGTGACCACACTTGTGACCACACGTGTGACCACACTTGTGACCACACGTGTGACCACACGTGTAACCACTTGTGTAACCACACTTGTGACCACACTTGTGACCTCACGTGTGACCACACTTGTGACCACACGTGTGACCACACTTGTGACCACACTTGTGACCACATGTGTGACCACACTTGTGACCACACTTGTGACCACACTTGTGACCTCACGTGTGACCACACTTGTGACCACACGTGTGACCACACGTGTAACCACACTTGTGACCACACGTGTGACCACACACCGGTCGGCGAAGTTGGCGGAGAGTCGAAGCGCAGCGGTACGGAGGTTGGGGATTGTTGTTACCGCTCTGCCGTGTGCCAGGAAGCCCGCCACACCGCCCGCCGAGGCTAGGAGATGTTAACTCCCTCGCCTGGTATGCAAGGAGGCCGTGGGTTCGAACCCGACCCTGACGTCCACGGTGTGTGTATATATATTTGGAGTTTGCGTGGTCACTTTACCCGTGGTCGCGTGGATTGTTTTTTCCCTCCGGGTCCTCCGGATCGTCCCCCAGCCACGTTAAGAATGCACGCCATGCGTTTGGAGTATTTTGGCTGCTGTACATTTCCACGCGACGCTGATGATGAGCCACTTCGTTGAGCGATATCATTTGTGGCCAGGTCGCTTCTGAAAAGAGAGCTGCACATCTCAGTGGGGTTTGCCTGGTAACTAAACGAGTCGTGAGTGAGTAAGAATGTGAGTAGTCAGTCGTTAGCCAGCACCGCGCATCCAGAGTACCCGGGCACGGCTTCCGAGAGGCGACGAGATCGGGCGGGTTAACGGGTGCTGATTTGGTCATGGGCGATGTTGTTTATTGATTTATTTATCTTTTAAGTTATTTATGAAGTCAATGTGTTTTCATTTATTTATTTAGTGTCCTGCGCAC